AGGACGACCCGAGCCAGTAGCTGACAACGGTGCACGGTGTTGGAGTGAATGTTTCGATGCACTCAGAAACCTGGAGACCATGAGCGAAGGACCTTGCATACTTCCTGTACTTGCGGATGGACGAGTTGTTCAACACGGAGACCGACGACGGTAGTGACAGAGAAGTTGCAACTCTGTGCCGAAGGCTTAGACTGCGGACTTCCTTGAAGATTCGGTTTGCTTGGTTGTTGCTGATGTGTAAGCAGGTCTTCGACTCTGGAACACCTGCCACTCCGGAGACGCAAGTTTTGCGGACGAAGTCCTGCAGGCCGAAGCATTTCGGTCGTGTTGTGCCAGGAGCAATGCTGGAGAATGCTGTTTGCTGTTTCTTTTCGTTCAAGGCTTGCCGAGCCCAAGCTCCACAAGATCTTTCCAAAAGCCAAGGGTCCGAGCGTTTGGACCCGAGCTCGTGCTGCGTTCGCTGCCTTCTGCGTTTCTGAGCAGCATCGGTGAGGCATTGAGTATGCGACAGAAGAAGACGAGCTGCTAGATAAGTTGGAAGGAATGGAGGTGGAGGCAGACTGCCAGAAAGGGTGATGCAACACAGTAAGCATAATGTGGCAGTGCAGGAAGGCGACGAAGGTTCCGACATCGAAGTCCAGGACTGTTTTGCAAGGAAGTGAGTCCAGCTTGAACCCGACTTCGTCTGCTCCAACGAAGGAAGCTGAGACTGTCCTGGAGATCGGAGACGACGCCTTGTCCACACCTCAGCCACTCCGTGCGTCGCATGGGCCTCGCTCTGTGTGTGCAGCGAGGAGTCGTGGCAAAGGCTATGGCACCAGCAAGCCCAAAGAGGTGGAGCCCGTAGTGGACGAAGATGGCTTCACTGCGGTCGTCAAAGGACGGCGCAGGCCACGATAGCAAGGCCAAAAGTGGTATGCAGCAGTATTGCTTCGATTGGATCCCAGAATCTGCTGAAGATTCTCCTCAACCCATAGCAGATGACTTTGGAAAGGTCTGTGTTCCCGCAGGCCGCTCAGATCTTGACAGAGCATTGTTTCGTCAGGTGACGCACGCAGCCGTCAAGTGCAGTGATGCTCCAAAGTTGCTCAAAACCACAGCAGCTCAGTGCGCGCGTGCTCGCTGTTGTAGATATGACTGGAAAGCCCGAGATCCCTCTGCCTACGAATTCCGAGTTGTTCAGACAGCCTATGAAGATCTCGCCATGCCGCCTCGCCGTCGGCCAGATGTTCAGTTCGAGCCCGAAGACACAAGAGAGTGTAAGTGGACGATGTGCAGAGTCTGCGAGAAGGTCTAGAGTCTAGAGTTTAGTGCCTTGGACTGTGTCTTTCCTTGAGCGCTCTCGCTGGCTTTTCTTGCTACCAGAGCTCGCAGACGACGACAGTTGTTAACGGGCACTCGAAGCAACCACTCCTACAGACTACACAACTTGGGATTAGGTGATCATCTGAGAGAGAACAACAAGCGGGACAAACTCGCTGTCAGCCCCGCAACGCCCAACAGCCGCATGAGAGGATTAAGAGCTAGCGCATTCACGATGTACTCTAAGCCGTGATTTCAACATCACAAACAGAAGTCAGTGCAACGAAGCCGCTCTATGATGGCCGTTCCGTGGGCATTGTGCGGCCTTCCATTGATTCGTATTGCGTCGGAGAGTGTTTTGGAGCTGGCGCTGTAAAATGGCATTGTTCAAGATGTGCTGTGGGGACTTGGCTCCACCGGCTTCCCCCAGACATGCACACCTAGCTGCCAGAACAACTCCGACTCCTCCCACGTCTGATCCGTTCTGGAGCCCGAAGTGGTGCCTGTGCTCTGAACCGGTGGATGAGGTGCAACACCAAGACATCTCCAAACCAGATATTTGCACAGACCCTGCAGAGGGCAAAGGCGGCAAAGGTACACCGCGGGGCAGAATGGTGACGGCGGGGGGAGACTATCGAACCGAACAGTCGTATCACACAGTCAACACCTCAAAGAGCAAAAGCAGCAAGCCCAATGTGAACACATGTCAGTCCAGACGAAGCTCAGAGTCGCTAAACGTCTTGGCGATCTTTGAGCATGCCGGAGAGTGGTGGTTGCCCCATGAGAGCGCCTGTGTGGAAGACTGTGACCTGTTGCAGGAGTCCTGGCTTGGAAGACTGCCCAGGAAAAGCTACCGGAACATGAGCACGACGGGCTTGCTGAAGACGGGGATGAGCGGCTGGGTGAGACGTAGAGTCTCCGGAAGCCGGCATCGCTTTATGGAAAACGGCTTCGACCTGGACTTGGCCTACGTCACGTCCCGTCTCATTGCCATGGGCTTCCCGGGCCGAGGCTCTGGAGCATGTTTCCGGAATCCGCACAGCGAGGTCAAGCGCTTCCTCGAAGGAGCCCACAGCGGTCACTTCCGTATTTACAACCTCTGTGCCGAAAAGCACTTTCGGGACAACGGTTTCCCCAGGGAGACGAAGGCTTTTCCATCGGCTGATCACTGCCCTCCCGATTTCGCCGACATGTTGGATTTCTGCAGAGATGTGGAGTCCTGGCTGCTGGCAGACGAGCAGAATGTAGCGGTGATCCACTGCAAGGCTGGCAAGGGACGCAGCGGCACCATGATCTGTGCACTCTTGTTATATTCAGGGGCCGTGACAGCTGCCCGGGATGCCTTGCGGTGGTTTGGTCGCATACGAGGCGGCACCCGGGTTGGTGTGACAATACCTTCGCAAATTCGATGGATTGCCATGTTCGAGATCTGGCTTCAAGGCTCCGTTCAACTCACGAGCACACCAGTGAATGCAGAGGCTCTCAAGTACCGACTGAAAGCGCTGCGCATCGGACCTCTGCGATCAGCAATGTTCAGTGGCGGCTGCTTTCTGCAAATCGGCCTTGGAAGCCGCAAAGCTCCGGAGGGTTTTAAGTGGGTACATTGGCACCCGACATTTCAGGCAGAGCTGTCCCCGAATGGAGTTTGTGAGTGTAAGCTGGCAGAGAGCCCATGGTGGACTGAAGCGGACGGCCTCGTGTGCGTTCGGCTAAAGACATCGAAGTCGTGCTTCGCCTGCACTTCCCGTTCGCACAGCATTCGGGCCTGGTGGCATCACTCCTTCTTGCAGCGAAAGATCAACCAGGGTGCCGTGGAGCTTGTGTTGGACCTGCCCAAGACGTGCATTGATGGCTTACAGCGAGATGCTGTCGATCATGTCGTCGCGCCAGCTGAGTTTCGACTGACCTTGAATTTTGAAACGGAGGATTGACCAAGTTGCATCTAACTTCACGAAGAGGAAGACATGCATGATGTCTAGAATGTGCAGTGACATCTACTGCCGATATAGCACATATATAGGAATTGTCAGAATACCAGGTCCAAGTTGTACAGGTCGTAGCGCTTCTTGACAGCATGCTCTGGGCAAGATGTTTCTGTAACACTCTGCTAGGGTGGCAGGGGTGTTCCATTTCAGCTGTTACTTTGGCCCGACATGCAGAGCTGTCCATGTCCTTTCCCTTTCTGGCTGAGCCAAGCGGAAATTGGACTACCGGCTGCCACAAGCTCAGCCCCAGACTTCGCGTGGAAAAGGCTAAAGACAAAGAGGGACTGGTGTGAGTCTGGCTGGCAGTCGCCGGGGGCCACGTCGCGCCATGTGGTGCTGCTTTGAGGTCTCAAGGCTGGCAGCAGTGGTGGGTACTGGCACCTGCCCGAGAGCTGGACCCCGTGATTCCGGTGTGTGTGGCAGGGAGGCCTACGAGTCTAATCCACGGACCCACGTGTGTTTCGGTACTAGACCGCATTGGCCAGGCCATCGCAATATTCCGCCAGCGCATATTTCCGAAGGCTGCTTGAACTCTATCTTTGCTGCGAAGGGTTCCCTAATCCCGGCACAGAAGAACTTTCTGCAGGAAATTTGTGGCACTATTTCGTGAGTCATCTCCGAAATGCTTCTCGCAACGGAGACCGCCAGCAAGGCACCCTGATCAAAAGGTCCTCTCTTCCATTGTTTTGCGGGAGAATTGCCCCGAAGGTATTGCCAGGAGTCAGCATCCGTCACATCTTCCAGGGCCACGCAGAAGGTGTGGCCAAGCCAAGAGTTCTCAAAGATGGATGAGGACTGGGTCTGCCTTCCCGAGCCTCTAGGGCTCTAGGCTTGTCCCTGGAGTCCCTGGCGTTTTGGGGGGTCTGCCAGGAGCGGCAATCATCGATTCGCGGCTGTTTGCAGCACGATGAGGTGTAGTCTTGTGAGCTTTCGCGCGTGTTTTTGGGCAGTCTCTTCGGCTGCCCAGGGCATGGCCCTTGCAGTTCAATCCATCCACAGACTCAGAGCTTCTGGCGGGAACCGGCGAGGTGCAACTTGGCCAAGCTGTGCTCGCTTCTGAAGGGCTTCAGTCGGCTTGAGTGCAGGAGTTGTGGCTGCCGGCGTGCCGACTCGCAAGGAGCAGTCGGAGACTGTGAGTCTGCAGAAGCAAGCGCAGTGTTCGTCAGGACCAGGGTCAGGTCGGAAGGAAGTGAAGGAAGCCGAGGCAAAGCGCGACTCGTCGCACTTCTTCCTGGATTCATTGATTGTGTGCACCGTCTCAGGTCAACCGCTCTGCAGCACTGAGTGCTTGCCGTCAGTGAAACCCGCAAGGCTTATCTTGCAGACAGATGGCTCCACAGCAGAACTCAAAGCGGTTTCCTGTGGTTCGAAAGCTTTTCAGCGCCATCAGAGTACCGGAAAATGCATCCGTGAGCTTCGACCGGTGTGTCTGGAAATCTTTGTGAGTGGAGACCTCTGATATGAGAAAGGCTTCGTTTGTTCATTCTGCGGCAGTGCACTGCTGTCTCGGATTCAAGTGGAAGTTTACTTGTATAGTATATTTCGCCATTGAAGCCCTATCCAGCAGCACTTGACCACGAGTGTCATGAAGATCCAACTGGCCCCAAGATTTGCACCGGACTCATGCAGACTTTCAAGAAGTCCCGAATAACCTTGAGCCGAAGTCTTGCGGCCTGATGACATCAATGACGCCCCGTCGGTCTATTCCGCGAAATGGTTGACGTCGCTGTGCCGCCCGAGATACCGCTGCAACTTGGCCCAACTTCTGTTGTCTGGGAGTCAAAAAGCGCAAGACGATGCCAACAAGAAGTCCTTGGCATGCCTGACTGCCCGACAATAACATGCTTTCCGTCCTCGCAGTTCCAGCTTCACTTGGCATCCCTGTTGCCCAGGAAAATACTCAATGTCTTCACCGATCAAGACGGTGACATTCGAGTCAAAGAAGACAACCTCCGAGAAGTGCTTAGGCCCGAGAGAACGGGCTGACTTCCTCCTGTGCTGAAACGAGTCAGCCACACCATGCATTGTATTCTTCAGGGATACTTGCTTTGGTGAGCTGACACTCGTGACTTGCACAGTCGCTTTCGCAACTACAGCCGCGACATCACCGTCCAGGCAGGTTTCATTCGCTGTGGATCACGTGAATTGCACAGTGAGACCTCGAGTCCCCCTGCACACTTTGGCAGCACTCGAGGCTCCAACGTGTGTCAACAACGTGTCTAGGGAACTCCATGGGGTCACAAGCCGGTGTAGCTACCCGCCACTGCACGATGGGTCAAGGCACAGTTGGGTTGAATGGCCCCGCCTCAGGCTTTTGGCTGGCAACATCCCTGGCACACAGACTCACAGACCCGAGTCAAATACGGGACACGAAGTTCGCACTCAACTTACAAAAGTCCCTCCGTTCGAAAACTGGGCAAGTGCGTCCGACCGGTCGATCCAGTGCTCGCTGTGATAGGTCCTGAGCACTCTTCGCAACGAGCTGGCAGACCAGGCCGATGCACAAACTGGACCTGCAGGGCGCGGAGGTTTCACCGAAAAGCGCGCCGCTGAGGTCGGCGCTGTCAGGGACAACGCGGAGCTGGCTCGGGCGCAGCTGGCCGAGGCGCAGTCACCCATGGTGCTGAAATAAAGGGGGGCCCTCATGTGCCTCCTGAACCAGAGCAGAGGACCTCCACAATGACCTCGCCACGAAGAAGGTGCTGGCAGAGGTCGAGGTCCATCTCTCGCTGTGTGGGAGCTGAACACTGACACCTGTTTTGGATCACTGCAGAGGAACTTGCACAGGGTGCCCATGCCAAAGCAGATGTGCTTGGCGTGCAGCTGAAATCCATGGATGGCAGGCCTGAAGAATTCCTTAAAGCCGACATGGCTGACACTCGGGCCCTACTCGCCGCAGGCTCCGGCAAATTGCTGCAACCTTGGCCAATCAGGTGCCCTGCAGCGCTCTGAGCACGTCAGTCCTCTCAGTGCTCTCTGCAGGCTCATACGTACTCGACCGGGTCTGATGACCTGGCCATGACAGCCCCCGCCGTCATGAGCTCTTCAACGCTGACTGTGGAGAGGGAGCCGAGTGAGACCTTTGCCGGAATTTCGGCGCCCGCCCGTGGGGCGACCTTCTCGCCGAAGTCCGAAGCCGGAGCTGTCAATCGAACCTTCTCGGCTCGTTCCGCCGCCGGACAAGCGCCGGAACCAGTGCGAAATGCGGCTAGCAAAGCCGACGTCGAGGCTCTGCTGTCTTCCCAGGCTCGGGCATGAGACACGGGGTGTTCATGTGCTCTTCTGAGCGGCAGTCTCTCTGAACTCTGAGGAGGCTCTTTGGAAGGAGGCCGTGGATGCAGTGAAAGAGGAGGTCGCAGACCTCGCAGCCAAGCAGAAGGATTTGGAACAGTCCCTGCAAACTTCTGCCACTAGCTCGGACCTGGAGGCCCGTGGCCTTGTCCATGGCCATGCCATCCTCTCTCTCGAAAGCTCGAGACTCGTTTGGAGGCGCTCCGTGATATCCAGAAGGCGGCAGACGAGCAGCTTCTGCAAGCTCGACTGGAGATCAGCGAGGTGCGGGGCCGGTATCCGGTGTGGGATGTGGATGTTGTCGGGTTGCTGGACGTTTCTTCGGAGCTTTGTCCTGTGGCCCTGAGAGCTGCGCTACAGGAGCTTGCAGAGATCCGGCGGTTCGCCCTGCAGACCTACGAGGATGGCGCCTCCTCCATGACGAGCTGCGATCTCAGACGCTGGGAAAAGGCCTTGTGGATTTCGGCCGTCCCCAGGCCGCCTGGACTCGGACAAGCACGAGATCGCGGGCAGCTGCATCCTGAGCAACCTGTCTTCTGTGCGTGCCGAATCTGTCCTTTCTTCTTGCGGATCGCTGGTTTTAGATGCAGATCAGTCCATGCAAAGTCTATTTCGGCTCTGCTTCAACTCGCCGGAGAAAGTCAAAATCTAGAACCGCCAAGCATTTTTCGGCTCGACGAGGCAAGGGGTCTAGATCGATTTTCAGGAATTTTCTGCCTTGGGATGGGAGCCCAACTCCAGGCCCCATCTCGATGATGCGAGGGCTTTCTCACTCTGTGTCATCCGTGGTGCTCTCCCTTTAACGCGGAGGCCTGTGGCCGAATCTGTTGGAGTGATGCGCCGAAGACCGACGCGCACTCCTCAAAAAGCAGCAGCTCGCCACCGGCCGGGGGCTGATGCAGCTGGAGGGGGTTGGGGTTACAACCTTGAGAGGTATCTGCCTTGGATGTGTGAAAGGAATTGGATGACTGGGCGAAGACGGCCCGGGTGAAGGGCACTCCGATAATGGATGAAGGCTTCATTTGCATGGGCAGCAAAGCTCCGGTCTGCCCGCCGCAAGCCAAGCAACTTCCTGCAGGCCAGTTGCAGAACGGCCCTGCACTATCATGACTGTCAATCTCTCCGCAGGGCAGGGCCTCGTGCCGTCTCCATGTCCTTTGTAGCCGCTGGAGCTGGCAACATCCTCTTGTCTGTAGATTTGGTGTTCTATGAGACTTTCGCCCAGAGTTTAGCGGTCTTCTGACTCTGAGCAGGTCCCATCACCCTGGCGACTTTGCAGGGATCGTGGCTGGGCTCGGGTGGTGCCTTGCAGAGGATATTGCTTCAGGCCGTGCGTTGTAGATGCCGTGGTACTCATGGCCTTGTGGAGGTGCCAAGATTTTCGTCATCGGCACTGATGTCAGTATCAATGGCTTGCCCCTCAAGGCCATGGAATCAGAGAGGGAGAGGGGGAAACACACAGAGCAATCTTGTATGTGTCCTTGGCACACAGCAACTTGCTTCAAGAAGAGACAGAGCGATAGATAGAGAAAAGGGTGACAAGACGCCAGCTGTCACGCGCTTGCTGGGCTTTGGCAGGCTCACAAAGTGGAGCTGAATGACGACGGCGTTGTGGTCAGCATTGGCAAGCTGTGGCAACTACAGGACTGACTTTCGCCAGCTGATGCCGAAGCCAGCAACATCAGACTTTATGAAATTTAGGTCAGGTTGACTTCGTGTGTATAATTATCTGCATCCGTCCATGCGCGCTTGTAAATTCCAGCTCGTGCCACACCAAACCAGCGGAACACTTGGTGCCGAGAAGTAGCCGCGGGGGAGGAAAAGCAGTGAGGAGATCCAAGCAAGGAGAAACATAGGCCTAGGCCTGCAAGCGGCGTGAACAGAAGGCGACATCGCTTTAAGGAGCAGGGTTCTTGAGCCGACTCGCCTAGATGCGCAGGGCTGGGCTCCCGACGGCGGCCTCGAGTTCCGAGCATCTTCAACCCAGGAAAACATGGAGAAGCTCGGCAGATCCATGACTTCCTGGCCCTTGTCGTTTTTTTTTTGGGGGGAGAGCTCCTGGTACCGCCGCCAAGGTCTGCACGCTCCGAGCTTTGGACACGCACGGCCGCAACATCGGCCGAGGTGTGCGGACCTTGGGACGGCTGCGGTCAGAGCTGTGCCGAGTAGAGGAGAACCCTGAGTGCATTGCTCCTCAAGACGTAGGGTTCTAGGTGCAGGACATCAGTAAGAGAACGCCTTTAGCGATGTAGATTCCTCTGAGGTCAGAAAAGATGAAACTCCTCGGTTATGCCGGGAGTGCGGCTGCTTACCAGAAATTCAGCTTTGAGCTTGGGGTGTCTGGAAGCTTGCAGGGATCAGTGCGGCCTGAGGCAGATCCGCTAAAGCGTGGCATCGAAGGTTGCATGCCGGGGACCTCTGGAGCTGAGATGCCAAGAGGCTACAGCTCGAAAAAGGATGGCGAGGAGGCACAAACAGAGTCAATTTGTGTTGCTTGCCAAGACAGGATGAGAGGATGACTCATGCCTCTTTTCACTCTTTCTCCACGAAGTGAAGGTGTCTCTGCTGTGTGCACTGGTGAGCCAATGGCGCGAGTGTGCCTGACAGATTTTTCAGACAACGCTGCATCAGAGATGCCTCCGTCTTCATGCATGAGATCCACTCGTGTGCGCTGCCTGTGGGCTCATGGCAGGCCAGCAACCTTCAAAGTGATGCCACGTCTGGTGGTCCCAGACTTCACGAACCGCCGCTCGAGCGCAAGCGCAAGCAGAATTTTACATGAGTGTCCCGTTCCGAGTGCGCCTCAGGGGCTCAAACCGGCCTTGGTGTCGAACTGCTACACTACGTGGCAACATCCATAAGGTGGGAAGTCCTTGCAAAATGGGGAGCATGACAGTTCTCCGGCAGGCAGAAAGGGTTCCAAAAGAGATCCGGTCGTCAGGGCTTGGGCCTCAGTACTTGGATGGCGAGCTGCCTTGAAGCACTCCCTGTCTTGAGAAAAGGCCATGACATTCCAGTGCTGGTACGGGAACCAGCTGGGTCCGACTCGAAGGCTGTGCGAATGCATGCACATTGCTGTGGGTCTGTTTGGAATGGCGCAAGGACGTCGTGTTGGAGTCTTGCCGTTACTCAGCAATGCATTTTTTGACGCCGTGCAGCAGGCAGAGGCCCTTCGAGTTTGGCGGGCACGCGTTGCAGACGAGGAGGCCGCTTGAAAGAGAGATCACCGGGGCAGACTCGGTGCATGTGGCTCTGCCAGATGTCAGGGGTTTCCTCCTGTTCGAATACGAGATGACGAGGAGATGTTCACATCATTGGGCAACGGCCATTTTTTCCAGGCGGCGTTGAAGTGTGGATTCGGCGCATGCCCATCTGGACTGCAAGAGTGTGTTTTGAGGCACTCAATCTTTTCCAGACGGAGTGGAAAGCCATTAATGACGATGCACACTACTCCGTCGGGTCTGACAGCTTGCTGGAGGAGGCTCTCAAAGAAGGACGGGAAAAGACTCATGTTTGTGCACGCGCGCGTGTGTGTGTGTGTGTGTGTGCGTGTGTGTGTGTGTGTGTGTGTGTGTGTGTGTGTGTGTGTGTGTGTGTGTGTGTGTGTGTGTGTGTGTGAACCTCCCTAGTACATGGGAGCAGAGGGTCACTCCTACACTGCTTGCAATTTTGCTTTGCAACACAATCAGACATTTGACACTTAACGATTCAAATGTTGCAGGGGGATCAGGCTTCCAGTGACTGACCTGATCCAACGAAGCTAGGTCACTGGAAGGGAAGTGATTGAGGACGCTCAGTCATGTACCTGCGCAATTTTCGGCAGCCCCCTGTGGTGCCAAGATTAGTGTGAGGACAGGCCCCCTGTGGTGTCCAGATTATACAAACAAGTTGTACGGTTGCCACAATCTGACAAACTTTTACAACATGAACAACATGCCTCTCTTTTTCCTCTTGCACTCGTACTCTTGGCCGAATCCATCAGTGTGATCAGCGTGGGTCGATGAGACTCCAGAGCAACGGCTTTCCGTCATGGCGCCGTGGTGACCCTCCGGGGAGACCGGTGATGAACCGGGTGTTCAGCCTTCGTTCAGATCGTTCAGAATCTCCCGATGCTACTTTATCTCTCTCTCTCTGATGCCCGCATGTGAGTCTGACATGAGTGCAGTTGCAGTAACCGACGTCTAGTGCAGTAACCGGCCGCTAATGCACAGGTTCTCTCTATTCTGCCCCGGGGTTTTTCACTTCTCTATTCCTCAGGGACTGCAAGGGCATGTGCATCTGTCATGAGTGCAGACGTGGTAAAGATGTCTACAGCAAGTGAAGCAGCGCTCTCTCCGGAGAGTACTCGGCCCTCCACCTTCCTTCTCTCCGTCTACGACCTCTCAAATCAGTCCAGCAGGGACAATCAGGACAGCCTGCACTTTGCTTGTGCAACTGTGTGCGTTTCACCCGCTTCGTTGCAGCTATGTGGCCGGAACATTTTGCCGCGCAGCCGCCAGCAACACCATATGCACCAACAGCCCGACCGGTGCTTAATCAATTTCACCAGAACACCTGGGTGCCGCAGTCTCAAAGCTACCCAGCAATGATGCCAACCGGCATTGCTGCCACTCAGCAGCCCACACTGCCAACACAACCCACTACGATTCCTCTTGAGCAAACACACGGCTTCCCCATGATGCCGTGTGGACACACCGCTCCTATCCCACAGCATCCGACAATCTACGCACATCTCAGCACACCACAACCCCAGATGCCACAACAACCACCACCCCAGCAATTCATGCCACAACAACCCACACCGCTCATGAATCCTGCACTTGTGCCTACCCATCCAACAGCTTTTCCCATGAGCCTTTCCGCTTCAACACAGCATCAGGCCCAACCTACTACATTCAACTTTCCTTTTGCACCACCTGCCCCACAACCACAACTTGCACCCTGCCATCTCCCTCCCACACAGCCCATTCAACAACCCCACATACCGCCGCCAACAACAATTCAACAAGCTCCACAACCCCATCCCACCAGTGTTCCCACTGCCGATGCGGCATACACTGCCCCGCAGACACCGGCAATGACGCCCCAACAGCAACAACCAACAAACACAGCCAATACCCCTTCTGTCAACACAGTACCACCCGCACAACCACCACCACCCCCAGATACAGGATCGGCAGACACTGACCAGCTCGCAGCCCGTACTTCCCCCCATCATCCTCCGCTGCCACGCAGACGACGGCATTCTCCCACACGCAGCAGGACTCGCACCGCGAGCACTAGACGCCGTCGACACACGCGCAGCCGAGCACGGCCTGCAAGCAGCGGCAGACAGCACCGCCGACGCAGACACCATCGATCCCGCGACACTCGCAGAAGCCGTTCTCGCAGGGACACCAGGCGTGCTTCATCGACGCCTCCTCGGACCTCGGTTGTGCTCCGCAGCTATTCTACAGTGCGTGATGATGATGCCAACAAGTGGCATTACAGAGCCACACAGCCACGTCAAAGG